CTCCCCCGGGCCCCCCGGAGTCGCCCCTGCCAGGCACAGGGATGAGTGGCCCTGGGAAATGGGGTCCCTGCCCATCCCTTCCCCTCTGTCCCCTGCCCTCGTGCCATTTGGGGAAGGCCAATCAGCCCAGCCATGGCAGGGTGTGGTGGCCCCACAGTGAGGGATGCTCTGTCCCCAGGGTCCCCTGGGTGTCCCCAGCTCACCTTGGCTGACGGGGTCGGTGCTGGTGGCGGGGCTGGCGGCCGTAGGGTCGGGGTGTCGGCACGTCAGGAGCTCAGGGTCACCCGTGTCAGACCTGCTGGGGACAGGAGAGGTCAGGCTGAGTGCTGGCACTGGGGACACAGAGCCACCGTCCCACCCCAGGCGCAGGGACATCCAGCAGTGCTTACCCCCTGTGCACACACTCCCGGATCTCGGCCGTCCAGCAGCTGAGCTGCTGCTCATCCCCTGCCTCAAACAGGATGTCGGTGGCATTGGTGACCTGGGGGACATCAGAGGGGTCTTCAGACACAGAGAGAGATGTGCATCCCCCACCCACCCACACTCAGGACCCCAGCAGGGACAGCTCATCCCCAACCCTGCACTCCACATCCCCTGTGCATTCCCTCCTGTGATGGGAAGAGGAACTGAAACTTGGCATGAGGAGCTTTTGGGAGCCACATGTGTCCCAGGGGGTGGGAAAGGCCTTGGGGGTGGCTGCAGACCCTTCCAGCAGATCCTACCTTGAGGACAAAGGTGTGGAGGTTATCGGGCATCTCCAGGCGTGTGCACCTCCGCACCTCCTGCACGGCGGAGCAGGCCACGAGCAGCTTGGGCTTGGAGCCCTGTGGGGGGAACACAGAGCCTGAGCTGAGCCCCAACTCCCCCAGACCCCAAATTACTCCCCTAGACCCCAAAATACTCCCCCAGACCCCAAAACACTGCCCCACACCCCAAAACACTGCCCCAGACCCCAAAACACTGCCCCACACCCCAAAACACTGCCCCAGACCCCAAAACACTGCCCCACACCACACTGCTCTACCCAGTCCAGGAGCCACCCGAGGCACAGCTGCCAGCAAGGAAATACCCTAGGGAAAGGGAAATACCCCAGCAGCAAGAAATACCCTGTGTGGTGAGGAAATACCCCCCCAAAACACTGCCCAGTCACTGTGGGGGCACCCCAGGGGGGCTGAGTGACATCCAGACCCATCCCAGGGGTCCCAAGGAGGAGAGGAGGGAGAAGGGGGCTCCCAGCATGGCAGCACGTCCCAGGAACGTGGCACCGATGGGGAAATTGGGGTGCAGGCAGGGAACATCCTGCTCATGGCTGAGAGGGTCAGTGGCCTGCCAAGAGCTCCCTGGTGGCTTTGGCACCGACACAGGCACGTGACAAAATGCTGAGCAAGCACTTCCACAAAGGCTAAAATATCCCTGCGGCAGCTTTCGGTTCCTCAGGAGGCTGAGGCACGTGGCACAGGATCCGGGGTGCCAGGGGGGCAAGAATTCCCTGAATTGGGCAAAAAAATCACCCAGTGGTGCTGGGTGATGGAGCCAAGGCTCTGTGCTCAGCCCCACGGCCAGAGCCACCCTGTGCATCCTGGCAAAGCCACCACGTGCCAGACCCTCTCATCCCCCTGTGCCAGGTTTGCTGCACCACAACATTTTGGGCTGGCTGTGATTCACACAGTGGCTTCATCATCCCACGGGATGCTGGTTCCAGTGTCCCTCCTCACCCACACTGTCCCTACACAGTGACAGTGTCCCTACACCCTGGGCTGTGGCACTTCAGAAATTGCCAACCAAACTGCCCTGAGCTCGTGAAGCTCACAGCAAGCCCACCCCAACCACCTGAATGACACTCAGAACGTCCCCACCGGACACTCCTCGGTCACCCAACCACACCATCTTTAGCTGTGCTGCTTTTTTTTGTGCTTTTTTTTTCCGTCCCCCCCTCCTTCCTCCCTCCCTTCCTCCCTCCCTCGAGCACTCGGTGTTCTCTGGGGCCGGAAACGCAGCGCGAGAGGNGGCTCCAGCCTGGGAAGGGCAGGGGGAGAGGGACCGTGGTGCTGGAGCCGGGAGCTGCGGGCAGAGAGAGGAGGTGATGGTCAGGGGGATGCTCCTGTCACCCCTCTCTGGGGCTGTGGGGTGCATCCCATGATCCACCCCCCCAAATGGTGGCTGGGAGCAGCTTCTCCTTTCTCAGAAGGGGAAGTTGGGAGCTTGGGAGTCACCTTTTGTGCCACTGCCACGAGGCTTCCGCTTCCCCACTCCAGGAGCAACCAAAGGGCCTGGGGATAGCACCCACACCCAGCCTGGGCACCCTCCATCCCCACATCCCAGGGGAACATCCCTTTCCCTTCCTGAACACCTTGAGTCCCACAGGAACATCCCAGTTCCCTTTCTGAGCACCCTGTGTCCCACAGGAACACCCCCATTCCCGCACACACCCTGTGTCCCACAGGAACATCCCCTTTCCTGCACACCCCCAGTGTCCCACAGGAACATCCCCGTTCCCTCCCCACACACCTTGTGCCTGTGGCAGCACCACGACGTAGCTGGAGAGCCGCACGTCGCAGGCGGAGCCGCACTCCAGCGGGATGGGGTAGCGGTGGAAGTGCTGCAGCATCTCCACGATGGAGGAGAAGCGCAGGTGCTGCACCCGGCACTGGCCCCGCTCCGTCAGCGCCAGCCTCAGGTGCTGTGGAGAGGAGCAGGGACCTGTCACCCTCCCTGTCACCCTCCCTGTCACCCTCCCTGTTTCCCCTCCTGGAGGGCACAGCGGGGATATTTGGGATGGGGGACACGCCGATGTGCTGCATCCCCAGCCTGTGCCTCCCTGGTCGGGGCAGAGAGCAGCAGAGCATCTCCCTGGGGTGGGATGTGATGGGACAGGGGCTGTCCTGCCCCTGTGAGATTCCCCCTCCCCATCCCAGCCCCGTCCCGCCCGTACCTTGGCTCTGCCCTGGAAGTTGAAGGTGAGCACGTACTCGCCGCGGCGCGTCTCGCTCTGCCGCACCAGGAACACGCCGT